TCCAATAGGGTACCACTCTATTTGAGAAGTACTTCACCCTAATTTGGAGCCTCGAATGCTTCCTTTGTAATCTAAGGCTATGCCCCCTTGTACCTCTCTCGGGGATCAGAGAGAAAAGGTCTTCTCGTCTTATTCCTGACAGTCCTTTCATTACCTTGTGAGTTGCCGCGTGGTTTGAATTTTCGAATTGCTCTCAGTGTTAAGCATTTTTGCATTGTTTGGTGGAATAACACACGTTATTTCGCCAAACTGACGTATCGTAATTAGTATTTCGGTACGCGTACTTTTTGAAGAGTTCACTCTCTTCAGAAGAGTTTATTCTCTTCAAAAAATTGAGTATACCTTTTGGTGTCCTTTTTGGTGTTTTTTGTTGGTGTCAGTGCAATTGATACCGGCTAACATCTTTTTGTGGCGCTTTTTCTAGTGTACCGTTTTTGTGGAACTTTTTAGTGTGCGGGTTTGCTGCACCTGCCTTAGTGTACCGTTTGTGTCTGTTCAAAAGGTTGTGTTATTGTCCCACTGGTTTTCGAGACGAAATGAATGGGACAGAGGTTGATCCCATTGGTCAGGCAGTAAGCTGTGGGAACAAGGAATGCACGGACCTGGTGCAAGATGAGGGAATTCAATGCGACCAATGTTGCATTTGGTTTCATCAAAAGTGCTCCAAGCTGGAAGAGAAAGACTTCGAGCTGCACCTCATGTACCCATCGCTAAAGTGGATATGCGCCCACTGCTTTGCGTTTGCAAGCGAGTGCTCGCGTATAATTCGAGGCGAACTAGGGAAAGGGGACTCGAACGTGAAGCTGATGCCAAGACTAAAGAGAGCCAGTTCGATCCATAGCCTAGAGGGAAAGGAAAACCGGGTGACAGAGCACAAAAATAAAAAAGGAAACCCAAGCCAAAGGGCAAAGAAGGCAAAGAGGTAGCAGGACTCGCCAATGCGGGTAAAAGCCTCCTGACGGAAGTGGAATCCCTCAAGGAGCAGGTCAAACGCCTAAATCCTGAGGTGCAACGCATGAAGCGTGACACTGAGGTCATGGCAGACAGAAGTAGAAGACTGCTACTTCATAACCTTATGGAGAACATCGTAAAAGACGGTAGAATCAGGAAGGAGGAAAACCGCCGGCATGTGACTGAGGTTCTTAGGATGGCTGGCCTACCTCCTACGACACCAATAGTCAAGTGCCATCGAATAGGACTATGGCGAGGAGCACAACCAGCGCCGCCACGACCCCTTGTAGTTGTATTCCACAGTGTCTACTGGAGGGATATGCTGCTGTCCAGGGCGGGAGCAGTTGAGGGCAACAAGCAGGGAATGGTTAGGGTTACACCTGACAGCCCAGCATTTGTCAAACCGGCTAATGCCATAGTCTCGCTGAGAACGGGCACATCTGATCTAAAGAGGCCGAAGCTACATATAGCGAAACCGGAGATGACTCCTCTTGGGAAGTCAACACCTAAGGCCCAAGGAGTATTCCAGGTACCAAAGGTGGCTTTAGGCTCCGGTATACAAAAAGCCAAAGATCAGGAAGTCCGAAAGACCAAAAAGAAGGGGACTCACAGGGCATTCAGTCTGGTTGGTGTAGAGAACGTGCAGCCAGCCAGCCCGATTCTAAAGGAGACTCCAAAAAAGTCCTTTCTGGTGCAACCAGCGAAGTTGGAGGTATCAGCGGGAAAAGCCGAGGAAACCAGCTAGGCTGAGGTGGTCGCAAGACCATCCCGGGCCATCGGTACGGCAACTCAAAAGGGGGTAACGTCCTTTGTGCATGTCGAGCCTGACACCGGGTCGACGGGTGGAAAAGAAAAAGCCACGAAACTCAGAGTGTCACTCGATATGCAAGATGCCGCACCGCCGACACCTTTAGAGGCAAAAAACGGGGCATCACCTCGGAGATTGCGCCCGAGGATACCCTAGCCCTAGAATTAGCAATGAAGTCAGTAACGAGGACTAAGGAACCGTCAATATGGTACACCAACACCTGCAGTCTCCAGGGAAAAAGAGGGGAGTTGACGGCTAGGATCGCAGAGTCTGATGTCGTTGCGTTGACGGAAACGTGGATAAAGCGCTTCCAGGGCTACGCTGCCTACAGACAGGATAGAACCGATGGAAGGCAGGGGGGCGGAGTGGCACTTCTAATACGCACCGACATAGGCCATTGGGAGGCTCCGATCAACTTAGTCTCCGGTAATGTACAGGTCAGATCTTGCTTTATCAGGATTGAGGGGCGTACAGTATGCATTATCTGTATCTACAGGGCACCGCTAGCCACAGTTGAAGAAGACGTTGAGCTCTTGCAAATGCTGGATGCGGTGCTGGCACAGACAAAGGAGTTCATCTTATTAGGGGATCTCAACCTACCCGAAATTAACTGGGAAAGCGGGATCGCACCAAGGGGATCGACGGGCGACAAGTTTGTGCAGTGGGTCCAGTTACATGCACTTACGCAGCATGTGACACAGGCCACTAGACACAGAGGTGGACAGCACCCGTCTCTCCTTGACTTAATCATCACGCGGCACCATCAGGACGTTAAGGAAATCAAGTGGGAAGAGCCACTTGGAAAAAGTGATCATGTAGCCCTAAGGGTCACACTAAGACTAAGCAAAGGCGCCGAAGGAAATCGTCTTACGTAGGCGCTATGGAATAATCAACATAGGTGAACTAAAGAGGGCGGCGGAGGAAATTCAGTGGACACCGAGACACACAAACGCCTCCGTAGAGGAACTCTGGGAGACCATCAAGATGGGGCTACTCGAACTTACAGATGAGTTCGCACCCCTGACGGCGGCAAGCAATAGAAATCTACCCCCATGGTGGAAGTCAAAAGTCCGCAAGGCCATAGTTATTCGTAGGCAACGATGGGCGGCGTACAAGCTGTACAGAACTCAGGGGGCATGGAATAGCTATAAGATGGCTAGGAACAGAGCTCAGGAGATCCAAAGAGTGGAGAAATATGCCCTCGAGCGTCGGTTAGCTGCGTCGGTCCGCACAAACCCAAAGCGATTCTACGCCTACGTGCAATCTCACAAACGTATGAGAGAGAGCGTAGCAACTTTGGAAGGAGTACAGAGACGACTAGCTCTAAACGACGAAGACAAGGCTGACATGCTCTTGGAATTCCTCAAGAGCATATATCGACCAGAAAATAGTTTGGAGGGAAGAATGGAGGGCCCACAGACGCCTCCAATACCCGAACTTACTGTAGGAGAAGAAGAAGTGTACGCGGAGTTGCAAGTGTTGAATAGAAATAAAGCTGCAGGTCCAGACGGGATTCATCCAGCAATCGTACAGCCTCTGGCCGAGGTCCTGAAGGCTCCGGTGACGAAGCTGTATGAAACGTCACTTAGAGAGGGAACTGTGCCGGGAGACTGGAGGAGAGCAACAGTGGTAGGCATTTACAAGAGTGGACCCCGGCAAAAGGCCGAAAATTACCGGCCGGTTAGCTTGACTTCAGTACTGTGTAAGTGCCTGGAGCGAATAGTCAGGAAACAGATCTCTAGGCATTTGGTTCAACACAACCTCATATCAAATGCTCAGCATGGGTTTGTGGCAGGACGATCCTGTCTGACGAATCTCCTGCTGTTCCTTGATGAGGTAACCAAGCGTCTGGACGAAGGGCAATCGATTGCGGTCTGTTACTTGGACTTCAGCAAGGCGTTTGATTCCGTGAACCACAGATTTCTGGACGTCAAACTGCAGTCCATGGGAATTGTTGGAAAGGCAAGACAATGGATAAGTAGTTTCTTATCAGGGCGAACCTTTAGTGTTAAGGTGGGGAGTCATGTTTCAAAACCGGAAGGTGTAACAAGTGGGGTGCCACAGGGCTCGGTGCTCGGCCCTCTGCTCTTCCTCATCTTCATCAACGACCTAGCATGTGGGCTTACGAACCCCACCTTTATGTTTGCCGATGACGTCAAGATATCTGGAGTAGATGTAGAACTTGACGTGTTAGCCGTACAAACCTGGGCACGTAAATGGGACCTTCCACTAAACCTCACCAAGTGTCAATGCTTGACCACAAATACAGGGTCTGGTGAGATTGGTGTGGGTTCGTTGCAAGTGGTCTCGCAGGTCAAAGACTTGGGCGTTATAATGGACAACAGCTTTAAGCCGTCAAAGCAGTGCACTTCAGCAGCCAATACAGCCAGGAGAGAACTCTTTCGAGTTAGATCCATTATTTCGTGTAGAGATCCGGAGATTTTCGTTCCGATATATCAGGCCATAGTTAGGCCGCATATGGAGTACTGCGTGCAGGCCTGGGCACCGTACTACCAGAAAGATATCGACTGTCTGGAGAAAGTGCAAGGGCTAGCCACTAGAATGATGGCTGGGCAAAGGGGGTGTAACTACACAGAGCGTCTCCGTGCCCTAGACCTGTTCTCGATGGAAAGACGGCGCATTCGCGGGGATTTGATAGAAACCTTCAAGGTAATGAAAGGACTGTCAGGAATAAGACGAGAAGACCTTTTCTCTCTGATCCCCGAGAGAGGTACAAGGGGGCATAGCCTTAGATTACAAAGGAAGCATTCGAGGCTCCAAATTAGGGTGAAGTACTTCTCAAATAGAGTGGTACCCTATTGGAATAAGCTCCCGGAAGAGGTCATAAATACCACAACAGTGAAGGCTTTTAAGAACGCAGTAGACCTATGTTGGATGGCAGTATACCCCGAGTTATGTTAAGCAGCTTTTAGGGTCAGATGCAATCTACTTATTGTTTCCACCTTACACTGCCAGGGCTGATACTGCACAAAATTTCTGCCTTTCAGAAAAAGAAAAATCACGCAGTGTTGGGAGCTACGGAAACGCGCCGACAACACAACTATCTGGACACACGATTGGCTCTAGCCACACCAAGTCCTGTGCAAACTGAACTGAACTGAACCTTGAAGGTTTCTATCAAATCCCCGCGGTTGAGCGTGTTCGATCTGTAAATGCACAACAGAAGGGAAAACTCTATGAGCCGAAGCTCAGTAAGTGTATCAACGGCACCAACACTTACATTACTCGAACAACAATATGGCGGCCTAAAACCTGGCCATTACAACCGTGTAACACGCAAGCAGCAGTGATCTTCCGCCGGGGGGTGAGCGTGGTTGATCTGCAAAAGCACAAAAGGGAAAAACTCCATGAGCCGAGGCTCAGTAAGTGTATCAACGGCACCAACACTTACATTAAACGAACAACAAGATGGCGGCCTCCACTCTGGCCGTTACACTGCTCCCCCTCAACGAAAGAACACTGTCCACAGTGTTACTTACTCCGCTATCACACCACAGGAGTACTCAGTTCCCTGGGACCACGCCTCGGGCAGGCCATTTTACAGGTTCACTGCCGATTACGCAGTACCTCAAAACTATACAACCAATCGGGCCTTCCGCTTTATTACTCCGTGCAGGCCAATTCAAAAGACCTCTACTGGGCCACATTAAGACCGTGTCACACTTCACAGAGCACAATTATCTGTACGGCCATTTTCAGGTCAATCACCAAGGCCTCCCATAACCTCCGGTCCCGGGTCGCGGCACCAAATTTGTAACACGCAAGCAGCAGTGATCTTCCGCCGGGGGGTGAGCGTGGTTGATCTGCAAAAGCACAAAAGGGAAAAACTCCATGAGCCGAGGCTCAGTAAGTGTATCAACGGCACCAACACTTACATTAAACGAACAACAAGATGGCGGCCTCCACTCTGGCCGTCACAACCGCGACAGACCGGGGTGTAGCGCAGTCGAAGAGTCTCGAGGTCGGTGGAAGCGTCCCATCACTCGAGAGGTTCAGTGCAGTTCAGTTCAGTTTGCACAGGACTTGAGGTGGCTAGAGCCAATCGTGTGTCCAGATAGTTGTGTTGACGGCGCGTTTCCGTAGCTCCCAACACTGCGTGATTTTTCTTTTTCTGAAAGGCAGAAATTTTGTGCAGTATCAGCCCTGGCAGAGTAAGGTGGAAACAATAAGTAGATTGCATCTGACCCTAAAAGCTGCTTAACATAACTCGGGGTATACTGCCACCCAACATAGGTCTACTGCTTTCTTAAAAGCCTTCACTGTTGTGGTATTTATGACCTCTTCCGGGAGCTTATTCCAATAGGGTACCACTCTATTTGAGAAGTACTTCACCCTAATTTGGAGCCTCGAATGCTTCCTTTGTAATCTAAGGCCATGCCCCCTTGTACCTCTCTCGGGGATCAGAGAGAAAAGGTCTTCTCGTCTTATTCCTGACAGTCCTTTCATTACCTTGAAGGTTTCTATCAAATCCCCGCGAATGCGCCGTCTTTCCATCGAGAACAGGTCTAGGGCACGGAGACGCTCTGTGTAGTTACACCCCCTTTGCCCAGCCATCATTCTAGTGGCTAGCCCTTGCACTTTCTCCAGACAGTCGATATCTTTCTGGTAGTACGGTGCCCAGGCCTGCACGCAGTACTCCATATGCGGCCTAACTATGGCCTGATATATCGGAACGAAAATCTCCGGATCTCTACACGAAATAATGGATCTAACTCGAAAGAGTTCTCTCCTGGCTGTATTGGCTGCTGAAGTGCACTGCTTTGACGGCTTAAAGCTGTTGTCCATTATAACGCCCAAGTCTTTGACCTGCGAGACCACTTGCAACGAACCCACACCAATCTCACCAGACCCTGTATTTGTGGTCAAGCATTGACACTTGGTGAGGTTTAGTGGAAGGTCCCATTTACGTGCCCAGGTTTGTACGGCTAACACGTCAAGTTCTACATCTACTCCAGATATCTTGACGTCATCGGCAAACATAAAGGTGGGGTTCGTAAGCCCACATGCTAGGTCGTTGATGAAGATGAGGAAGAGCAGAGGGCCGAGCACCGAGCCCTGTGGCACCCCACTTGTTACACCTTCCGGTTTTGAAACATGACTCCCCACCTTAACACTAAAGGTTCGCCCTGATAAGAAACTACTTATCCATTGTCTTGCCTTTCCAACAATTCCCATGGACTGCAGTTTGACGTCCAGAAATCTGTGGTTCACGGAATCAAACGCCTTGCTGAAGTCCAAGTAACAGACCGCAATCGATTGCCCTTCGTCCAGACGCTTGGTTACCTCATCAAGGAACAGCAGGAGATTCGTCAGACAGGATCGTCCTGCCACAAACCCATGCTGAGCATTTGATATGAGGTTGTGTTGAACCAAATGCCTAGAGATCTGTTTCCTGACTATTCGCTCCAGGCACTTACACAGTACTGAAGTCAAGCTAACCGGCCGGTAATTTTCGGCCTTTTGCCGGGGTCCACTCTTGTAAATGCCTACCACTGTTGCTCTCCTCCAGTCTCCCGGCACAATTCCCTCTCTAAGTGACGTTTCATACAGCTTCGTCACCGGAGCCTTCAGGACCTCGGCCAGAGGCTGTACGATTGCTGGATGAATCCCGTCTGGACCTGCAGCTTTATTTCTATTCAACACTTGCAACTCCGCGTACACTTCTTCTTCTCCTACAGTAAGTTCGGGTATTGGAGGCGTCTGTGGGCCCTCCATTCTTCCCTCCAAACTATTTTCTGGTCGATATATGCTCTTGAGGAATTCCAAGAGCATGTCAGCCTTGTCTTCGTCGTTTAGAGCTAGTCGTCCCTGTACTCCTTCCAAAGTTGCTACGCTTTCTCTCATACGTTTGTGAGATTGCACGGAGGCCTAAAGCATCACTCATCTTTTGTGACGTGAATGGAGAAACGAATAATGTCACGTTATAATGCCTTTTCCTGTCGGGATTTACAACTCCCTTCCATTGTAAAATTTTGACGGGTTTTACTTCGTTCCTCTGTAATTTGTTTAGTACTACTAATTGATTTGACTTGGTGAATTTTGATCACCCCATCGGCCATATATAGACGTTTGTGTGTCGCCGTTCTGTCAGTCCGTTGTTGCTTGCTGAGGTGCACGCAGTGCCGTCGGTGGGTGGTGATCCCACCTGCAGCGTATGCGGAAAAGGGGCGCCTTCGGTGGACTTGGGCGAGCATGTTTATTATGCCCAGTGTGCAACTTGCGTACGAGGGACACATTTCCATTACGCAGCTTTTCAGAACAAGAACTACCGTTGTGTTCATTGCAAGGCGGGAGCACGTGGAAGCATCCGAAGGCCCTTTTCGGGGCCACGCCATACTGTTTGCCGCTCCTTTTCTTGCTTTTTTACAAGTGTAGTTAAAAGTTGGCACATGAATCTCATTTCGTTTGCGCAACTAAGTGATGAGACTTATATGGTAACAGTTTAGTGGTTAAGGTCGAAAAGATCGAGAACACAATACCGGTATTTTAAGCGAACGAACGAGGTTAGAGTTATTAGCATGTTAAATATTTTTCTCGATGGATATCTTTACATAGGGACAATGAGCACTATATTTCGCCCATTCCAAGGACATGAATTAGAGCCGCCTAGGAATTGGTATTTCAGGGCTTTTCAATGTGTTAAACATTACTTACCCATTACCAGAGGACCAATGTAAATACAATCTACCAAATATTTCCTTTTTTAATGAACCATAACAGCTTTTTGTAGATAATTTCTCCGGTTTCCTAAACTACAAGCCAAAGCTATACTGAAATTGATGAACTTAACTTTACTAGCACAGGAATAATAATAATAATAATAATAATAATAATAATAATGGTTTATTTCGGAAGCGCCCGAACGACGTGTGGAAAAGCACATACCCGCCAAATAAAACCTGACTTTCATTACCAAAGCACACCATGCGGTTCAGTTCCACATTACTGGATTGATTATTCAGATCGGCTGCCTACGGAGTGAGTAGCACCCACCTTAGAAATGGCGGCTGCTCACATTTTTCCTTTCGACTGATTGGAAGCTACCCGAGGTCGGTGCAGTTCAGTTCATTTCATTATACGCAGGGTGGGCAATGACCATGGCCAATCGTGCGTCCAAAATTCCCTCGGTAGTAGGCACACTGGGTGGGCACCCACCTCTAAGCAGTTTGTTTCGTCGAATTCCCCTAACAAGGGGGATGCAAAACCTCCGCTCAAGTCAACTACGGAAGACATTATGCATAGTGGGCGTTCACTGAGTCGTTACGCAACAGTCGGAAGCTTTCAGTAACGGAGCACATCACACGGAACTTAGTGTTCACAAACTTCCGTTTAGAGACATGCCTACTGTCAGAAATGATTTTTTTCCACTGACGATTTACGGCCCCCTTGAACGGACGGACCGTCCCCATTGATGTTGCCCCTTCTAGCAGTCTATTCCAGTAGTCTACCACCCTATTACTAAAGAAGTAAGGTTCAGCCATCAACCTAGGTCGAACCTTCACCAACCTCTTCCCGCGACCTCGTGTTCGGGAGTATGTCGCCGTATGGAATGGAATCCCCGGTTTAAGCCCGGAAAAGCCTTTTGTAACCCTAAGTTTCTCTATGAGATCCCCAGTATTCCCCTCCTCGCCATAAAGAAAAGCTTGAGGTCCTAGAGCACCTGCTCTTACTTCTTATCCTCGTGGCTCTCGCCCATGCTCTTTGCGAGAAGTTCTACCCTCTCCAAACAGGTGGTGTCATTTTCGTGGGAACGTCACCATGTCTGAACACATTGTTCCAAAAGAGATCAAACTGAATGAATATACTCTGGCGCGAAAACCTTTGGTTGTCGGCACGCAACGGTGGCTTCAGCCGGAAGAGCCCACCGCTTGCCTCTCGTGCAGCTGCTGCACGCTGATCTGCCCACTTAAGGTCAGAAGTCACCAAAATCCCAAGGTCCTTAACCTTGTTTATCGCCTCTATAGTAGGTGGGCCTTGGTCGTGTACAATCGCCAGGCCTGTCGTTGTCCATGTCAACAAGTGGCTTTTCTCAGCATCGAGAAGCAAGTCGAACTGCTGTGCCCAGTTGCGAACGGCAACCATGTCTTTGCTCAGCTCATCTCTCCCCCGAGCTCCCAGTAATTCCACGTCATCTGCGAAAAAGAAGCTTGGCGACTGTAGAACTGAGGCCAAATTATTTGAGAACGGAAGGACCAGCAGTGGGCATAGTACGGAACCCCGCGGTACTCCACTGGTGGGTTCTTGTCACCCGCTCTAATGTAATGTGTCCTACCGGCAAAGGAGTACGTTGGCCTTTCCTGAATCTGTCGATTTATACCGAAAGACCCCAGTGTGGTTAGTGGAAGCCGATGGTTCACCGGGTCAAAAGCCCTGCTGAGGTCGAGATAACCTATTTCAAGCTGCTTTCCATCGTCCACTCTTCGAGTGGTTTCTTCTAGGAAGCTCAGGAGATTGGTCAAGCACGATGCTCTTTAGAAATCCATGCTGTGCTGGGTAAAGCATAGAATTCTCTGGTAGGCCCCCGCAGAAGTGCCCCCGGATGATCTTTTCTAGCACGTTGCACAGGATGCCGGTTAGGCCCACTGGCCTATAGTTGCCCATACCGACGTAGGTCCACTCTCATATATTTCCACGACCGTCACTATTTTCCAGTCCTGAGGTAGCTTACGCTGGTCCAATGTGGACCTGTGCAGCTCACGTACCGATGGAGCTGTGATATTCCCCAACGGCTTGATGATGGCCGGATGGGTGCCATCTGGACCGGCTGACTTGTAGATGTTTGATTGCCGTAGATACTTACGCACGATTTCCTCCGTAGGATTTGGTTCGCTCAACTCCAGCGGACGATGCACTAGCGTCAAGTCGACTGGCACCCCACTGTCCGGACAGTGGAAACTGCCAAAGTATGCACCCATGGCATCTGATTTCCTCTGATCATCAGTGGCGGTACCGTGGTCTACTGTGTAGGGGAGACCTGTCCCATTCCTTATTGAGCCCTTTGACTGTACGTATCTACGGGATTTCTTTGGATGGTTTCCCACGCTTTCTGCTAATTTATTCTCAAACTGCCTCGTAGCAGGTTCGCGGAGGGCTCACCGCCTTGTTTCGAAGCTTGGTATGGCGAAAGCAAGCTAGCTGACTGGCGGAAGCTTTGTAAGGGCTCCAGCCAAGGTTTCTACGCTTGATGGCCTTGGATACTGCAGCATTCCCTCAAATTGGTTTGCCTTCTTCACTCCTTCATTTCAAGGTTGCATGCCCATCTTGGAGGGGAACCATGGATCCCTCTATTACATTCCAGCGTTCGCCGAATGCAGCGCCCTATCTGTGTCCCACGTCAGATCCCCCTAATGCGAGACATGTCTATATCCACACTACCGAAATTCCTAAGCAGTCTCGAAACTACCCCGAGCTGCCTCTTGCACAGAATGATCTTCACACAGACTTGACCACTTTTGCCCTGCCGTGCACAACATCGTAGTTGGGACACTTCTTTTGGGGGATTCGTTATCGCGAGACCGAGCAAAGAGGGTATGCATCCGGCCCCGTATCTGGTGTCTTCCCTAATGTGTAGGTGCTGAGCACTAGCTTGCAACCACTCGAGGCAGCTCTCCATCTGCGATCCCGGCGTGCAGAATTCAGCAGTCCAGTCAACGTGCGAAAGGTCGAAGTCCCCCGCTGTGAGTGTGCAAAGATAGGCCATGGAAAGTCCTCTGAAGGCACTATAGTATGCGGTTTCGTGGAATTTCTCACTCGTATATATTGCTCGCGTGGTCCGTACGGCTTATGTTTCTATGAGCTAACCCTTGTTTATTCACGTCCAACGAGCTACGTTTTAATACCCTATCTTGGACCTGCTTGACGCACGTGCCTGTCTCTCACACACCGTGAACTTGGTTCTCGTTCGAGCCCGTGTGAACGCCCATTTGAGTTTCGCATGTGTTTATGAAGTAGTTCATTCAATAATTCAGTACCGAAGAAGTTACTGATCAATCTCGTTTTGGTTTCGGGATTCGTACGAATTTGGCTACCTGCTACTGAACGCTTGTTACAGGGTCTTGTGCTCGTCCTTACAGAGTTCAGTCAGGGTCCGCAGTAGGTGAACTTCCTCGTCGAGGTTTTTACTCGGTGCTCCGCATACCTTGGTTTGAGACTCGAGATGGTTTGAACCAAATCTAATGAGGGGAGGCTACAGCTTCTCCAATGAAGCCGTGTTCACTATCTTGTGCATAGGGTGCGAAAAAGTCATTTTTTAATCTTGGCACATGATCTTCTCTAGAAAGCCATGTTTCAGTAAATGCTACCATTGTCGCGTTGTACTGCAAAGCGACTTCGGAGAGTTCCATCCATTTGTTTCTAACGTTACATGCTTTGGTGTGTGAAACAACATGCTTGGAAATCCCCCCTAACCGTTGTCATATACTTGTATTGTTGAGGCTGTGCTGTTTGTTTTATTGACCCTCGAACAAGTACAACATGCATCAGTTACTACACTTCAACATTTGTTTAGATTTTGCTTGCGTGAAGTGGCATAATTTTGATTCGAACTTGGACTGCCTTGACGGTGGTACCTGACATTGGCCTTTGTTGAACTCTGGTCCTCGTTGTTGGACGTTGTGGCCGTGCAGTTGAGGTTTGTACGCATTCATATGCGTATAACTTGTTAATCCAGTACCGTAGAAACTACGAATCAACCTGGTTCTGGTTTTGGGATTCGTTTTGAATTGGCCACGCGTTACTCACAGTCGGAATAACAGGTACAGTGTGTCACATCATCGTATCCGCTGCAACAAGCAGACATCCCTCTTGTCCAAACCTGTCCTTGTCTTGGGCGCAGCGCTTGAGGTGATACCAAGTTTTTGCTACGATGTTTAGCGCCGTAGGACATGGAGACCTTTAGAAATCTAGGACCTCTAATAACTCCCAGTCCACTTCTAATGCAGCTCTCGTGACCTCCAAATTCGTGGGGGTCACATCGCCCTCCGAATACGCACACCTCTTCCAAATGTCGTCTTCCCAAATGTCCACAATCATCACTATTCCCGACGGCTTCAGTGGCTTGCGTATCACCGTCGGTGGGTTACCCCCAAAACGGCCCGCGACACTCTTTTATTCTTGTGAGCTTTTCGCCAGTGCTGTTGCTGACTTACCAATGGTTCTACCCTGCTTCCCTCTGTGTTCGTCCAGTGCGATGTGATATCGTGCCCGGAGGTTGTGGGCTACCACTGCCTTCCTAGACAGCAGTGTATCCCTGGTATGATCATCAGTAAACTCCACTGGAATCGGTCATACGGTTTTGGAGCCCATTCTGGCTAACGGAGACTTCCACATCCTCACTCTGTGCACTCTCTTCAAGGAAACAGAATGGGAGACATGTGCTATACGCAGAGTATCCCGCCCCCGTCTCTTGTATATGTCTCTTCTTACCCTAGATTCCCGCATGAACGTTTCATTCTGATCGCGAATCAGTAGCCTCGACTCGTTGTGCGCCCCATTCCTTGGACCCACTTTTAGAGGTTTATCATCGGGACATCCAGAGTCCGGCAACTAGTCTCCCTCATCCTCAAGGCATTGTATGTCACCTCTTGTGTTTGGGCCTTATTCTTACTTAGATCTTCTTCAATTTCCGGATCACCCACTCCCCCATAGCAGTTTGCCTTACTGGAGTGAAGGAAGCTGCGACAGGGCAACCGTCCATTTGGTTTCTAATCACTGCAACGATTGTTTTCTGCCGCCATCCTAAGACCTCATCATATGACCTTGATGATGCTCAGCGCCTCTGCAGTCGTCAGAAGGAAGGTAGACTGTGTCACTCTTGGGCTGGTTATTATGGGCCAACCTTTCAGCATCGCTGCAGAGACCACAGGTACATTCGACCCAGCTCTTCTTGCAGTATAATGGATACATATCCTTTCCAATGCCAGAACAGTCTGCAAGGGCCTATATATTACAAACATGATGTCTGATTCTTTCTGCCACTCGCTTCTTGCACCCTTCAGCCAGACACGGATATATCTCACACATCATGATGAGCATAAAACCGGGAGAATTGCATATCTAAATTGTTACTGATTGATACAAAAGCGAAATATACTGGTCTACTTCAAACGAAGAAGACGGCAGCACAACGAAAGAACTGCACAAAACCCAAAGGCCGTTTGGGGAGTGATGATAATAATAATATTAAAAGTTCACCGAATAAAAGGCGTACCTCAAGGTTACTCTGGTACGTGCTGTGGAGCGAAATAACCTTCGTTTTTTCGGTGTAGTTCGAAACCTATTTCCACACAGAGCACTTCAAAAGCTCAGCCTGAGCGGGACTCACCTCAAGGCCAGTTCAGTTTAGCTCAGCTCGCACAAGACTTTATGTGGCTAAAGCCAAACGGTTGTCCAGATAGTTGTGTTGTCGGCGTGTTTCCGTAGTTCCCAACGTGGCGTGAACTCCCCTTTCTGGGAGGCGGAAATATTGTGAAGTATCAGCCCTGGCTGATCAGGCGAAAAATGATAAGTAAATTATATCAGACCCTGAAGATTGCCTAACAGAATTCGAGGAATACCACCGCACACTAATGGTCCAAAGCTTTATTTAAAGCCTTAAACGTTGTAATATTTATGACCTCCTTCGGGGTATCACTGTGTTCGAGGAAAGATTTGGCCTGTTTGGAACTCTTGCTATCTAAGGCCTCACTCAATTTTTACCCGACAATCTCTTCACTACCTTGAAGGTTCCTACCAACACCCCGCAAAAGCGCCGCCATTTTATCGAGAACAGATCCAGTGCACGGAGAGGCCTTGTCTGTCTGAGCCTTTTCTGCCAAGTCGCCACTTTACTAGCCAGCCACTAATCCTCCTCCATACAGTCTGTATATTCCCGGTAAAAGGGATCAGGAAGTCGCAAACGCGTAGTACCCAGGCTTGCACGCAGTACTCCAAAAGCGACCTGACTTTAAGACACCTCAGAGCAATGCGTAGCTAAATTCGATACGGATCCCGAAATCGGGTGGCGATTATCCGTGAAGTTCTGCGATATTAGATTATCAAATTAACAATGACACAAAACAAGTACAAACCTCAGCTATACAATCAAAAGGACCCAAAGAACGAGGACCGAATTGTGGCGTGCGGGAAAGGGGCACTTGTGTCACGCAGGTCCAGAACAATCCTATGACAGAGCAACGCGCTGGGCGGGAACAAACAAGCTTTGATCCGTAAAAACAAACAGTGAATAAAACAAGTCAATAGTGTAAAAACTAGGTGATGGTAAGGAAACATGGAAACTCCAGTGGTTTTCGGGGGAGTTTCCAGGACCGGTCGTTACACTGACTATGGCTTGTTAGACCGGGACTAAAATCTCCTGCTTCTTACACGACGTATTGGATTTAATTGGAAAGAGTTCTCTCCTGGCCATATTGGCCGGTGTGGTGCACTGCTTCAAAAGCTTGAAGCTGTGGTCAAGTGTAATGCTCAGGTTTTCGAACTGAGGGACCACATGCAACGATCCCCTACCCTTCCCGCCGGTCACTGTATTTGTGGTCTCGCCTTGGTACTTGGTGAGGCTTTTTGAAAGGCCCTATTTGCGTGACCATTTTTGTGATGCTAACACCCCAAGCTCTGTACCTACTCCGGCTATCTTGAAGTCATCGGCAAACGTAAAGTTAGGGTTGGTAAGGTCTCTTGCTAGATAGTTGATGGACTCGAGTGAGAGCAGGAGTCCTAGAACCGAGCCCAATGGCCCCCACCAGTTACACCTTGCCACTTCAAAAAATCAGCACACTCATTAAAATAAAAGTTCGACCTCCTTAAATGCTACTTAATCACTGCCTTGCCTTCCAAGCGGTCTCCATGGGCTGTAGTTTGGAGTCCAGAAACCCGTGGTTCACGTGATCAAAAGCCTTGCTAAAGACCCTGTAAGGGGAAA